GTTTTTGGAGGGTGGAGATAGGGTGAGAAGGGGTTTCTATTTTTTTTTAAATTTAGTTTGTTTATTTTTCATTTCAATGAACATCTACAGACATTTTGGAATTCCATTCATTCATTGCTGCACCCTTCTCCCTGCACCCCCCCCCCCCATTTGCTCCTCTCCTTGAAAAGCAAAAGAAAAACTCCCTCATTGGTACACAATCCCCCCGCACCTCCCCAAACCCCACCCCCTACCCCCAAATATAATCCACTCTGCAACCCTCATTGCATACTCCTACGATAAAAATAATGCCCTAAAATATAATACTTTTAGACTATTCTCTCCCCCATAGACTTCAATGCCGTAAACATATTTCATCCAGTTTTTCTCAGTCTTACCCCACCCCAATGCCAGCCTCATTCTACAACAGTGGCACCATATAGCATTTGTCCCTTTGTGACTGAGATACCTCACTCAGCATAATGTCCTCCAGGTTCACCCATTTTGAATAATATTGCATGAGTTCCTTGTTCTTCAATGCAGCACAGTATTCCATTGTGTGAATATACCACAGCTTCTCTACCCATTCATTTGTTGATGGGCATTTAGGTGTTTTACAGAATTTTTAAGGCTTTTGGAAGCCAATTGCTAGGTCTGTCTTTGGAGGCTCTTCTGGGTGGGTTTGAACTATCACCTTTTCAGCTAACAGATAAATGCATAACTGGTGGTACCACCCAGTAACTCCAAGTCCATCCTTATTATGAACACAGAAATCCATTGTCTACACAGAAAAGCCTTCTGAAGCAGAGGCATCTTCGGGGAACTTCTTTACTTCCTTTTTTCTGGGGCTCATACTCTCTTTCATACAGAATGTCTGTACTTCTCTGCCAGTCAGTATTAGCCTTTTCTCATTAGCAGCCAGCAATTCTTGCTTCAGCTGATACATTTTTTTTCTAGCTCCAAATCTGTATCCTGCATTTTTAACCTCAGCTCCCATTATCAACCAGCTCTGTCTCTTATCAGGCCTTATTTCTTAATTAAAATTCTCTGGGAGAGGAACTTCTTCTTTCCACATACTTTGGACATGTTATCAAGAGAGGTCAAACTTTAGAGAAACTATCATGGTTAGAAGAATAGTGAGTGAAAAAGAGGAAGATTGTTGATTAATGGATTGAGGGCCTGAGAAGTGGGCTCATGCACACCAATGTTTGTAAGGATGGCACAGAACTGGGCAGTGATTCCTTCTGTTACATGCAGGGCTGCAGTACATAGAGGTGAGATGAGTCAGAGTCAGCAGTATGGCACCTGACACCAGCCACCAAACAATAAATATCAAGCTGCCACGAATAAAAAAACCTATCTTGAGTGGCCACTGGAACTGTCTCCTCCATTTCCCATCATCATTTGACACTCTTATGCAAATTGGCCAGATTTCCAGGTGCCAAATGTACAACTGCTTTAGCTGAAGGCTCTCTCTGGCTTTTTGATGCTCTTAGACATAGGTACAGGGGAGACAAGACTGAGAGCACTAGGAATCGAGGCTTTCCCAGAGAGCTCTTGGGGTGATGTCTGTAAGGACTTGACTGCTCATCCAAATATAGAGCCTTGGAGAGAAAAAAATGGGCAACATCCTCCCATGAGATGTACAGTCTCCTGAAAACCCAGTGGAGGGTCAGTTATAAGTCTGTTCCAACATGACAGCAATGAGTTTTGAGTGAGTATAGAACTTATCCAAAAGTTGATGTGAAGTGGGGTATAAACAGCCAGCCTCCTTTCCCCCAAGATGGAATAACTCACATGTTCTGCATTGGCTCCAGAATTCCACAGTGGATTGAGTTCATTTGCATACAATAACTTGCAACACAACACACTTTTTTTTTAAAAAAATTGAGATTTTTTTTACAAAAATTGAGGTTTTAATGAAAGTTTATAAAGAACTTGGATTTCCATTCATTCATTGTTGCACATTTCCTCCCTGTCCCCCTACCCCGTTTGCTTTTTTCTTTGGAAAAAAAGTTCTTTCATTGTTATAAGGTCCCCCCCACCCAAGACCACTTTATTATGCAGCTCTTAATACCTAATTATGTATTCCTTTTATACAGCTCTCTCCCTTATCTGTTTCAATGCTGCGCACATTATTTATCTCCTCTTTTCTTAGTTTTTCTCCAAACCCCATGTCACTCTTGTTTTATAACAGTGGCATTATGCAGTATTTGTCTTTTTGTGACTGAGATAATTCACTCAGCATAATGTCCTCCATGGCCACCCATTTTGTAGAATATTTCATGGGTTCTTTGTTTTTCAGTGCTGCATAATATTCTATTGCGTGACTATACCACAGCTTCTCTATCCCTTTATTTGCTGATGGGCACTTGGGTTGTTTCCAGCTCTTTGCTATTGTGAACAAAGCCACGATAAACATGGATATGCATATATCTGCGTGGGTGGCAGTTAATGGTTTCTTTAGAATATATTCCCAGTAGTGGAATTGCTGGGTCAAATGGTATTTCTATTTCCAACTTTTTGAGAAAGCGCCATACTGCTTTCCATAGTGTTTGCACCATTTTACACTGCCACCAACAGTGAATAATGGTCCCAGTTTCTCCACAATCTTACCAGCATTTGTTGTTTGACAACATATTTTCAATGGACTCCTTCTCTTTGTCACTCTTTTCCCCTGACATTTCTTGGGTCAGCTCCCAAATAAAGTATTTTTGTTTTATCTCCATTTGTTTCTCCATTGTTCACGTATGGGGGAAGCCAAGCTAAGGTTGTATCAGGATTGAGAGCAGGAGACAAGTGGGAGAGAATGATGGAAGCCTACAGATGGGCTGGCCTGGGATCAGGTACCCACCTACTGTCTCCTTCTTAGGTACACATCCATTTGTGTGTCACTGAGAAAGGTTTTGAGATTTGGAGAGACATTCTGAGATTTTTGCCTGGATCTTAACAACCTTTCAGCTACTCTTTGGGCCTAGGAGTTGTCGTGCCTTCTAGGCTGTAATAGAGTGTGAAAACTGTTCCCATCCAACCATAGCTTATCTCTGAAGCGGCTCAGTCACCCACATAGGTTTGTATTTTCTCATCGTGGTCTCATAGTCCTTTCTTCTTTCTCCAGCTCTTTCATTTCTAAACAAATATAGCCTGCCTCCTTGTGATTGTAAATTATTTCTTCCCCTGATGATAAAATTAAATTTTTTTGTACAAAAGTTTTAAATACAAAACAGAAAGAAAATGAGCCTCATCCTATAACAGAGTAAAAATGGCCACAAATTCCTTGACATAACTCCTCTTAAGAAGTGGACATCTGTGCCCATTCCCCTTGATTAGTTGTTAGATGTCGTGGAGTCAACTACGACTCAGCGGCTCTGTGAACAAACAGATCAGAACCTTGTCCTCTCCTGCGCCATCATCACAATCTCAGCCATGCTCAAGTTCATGACTGAAGGCACTGTGTCAATCCATCCGTAGTCAACACTCTGCCCATGAACATAGATGAACTTCTGTGACTGCTTAACCTACAGGGTATGGTAGAAGTGATTCCATGCCCATTTCTGGATGAAGATCTTAAAGGGAGTGTTAGCTTTCATTGCTCCTCTCATGAGAAAGCACCGAGCCATATAGAAAGTCACAGGTTGGATGGAGCTCCTCATCTACAGGAAACTAATTGCTGACCATGTCAAAGAGCTCATCCAGCCCAATTTGGCCTCAGGGGACACCACTTCCAGCCTCCAGCTGACTGTGACCACATGGAGCAACCCAGCTGAGGCCAGCCAACCCACAGAATCAAGGGGGGTAATAACATCAACAGCTGTTTTAAGTCTCTAAGTTTTGTTGTGGCTTAGTTACTGGGTTGCAACACATGACTGTATGTTGTTTTTGTCGGGTGCCAGTAGAGTCAGAGCCACAGCCTCCAGTGGGTTTTCAGGGGCTGTGAACTACTAGTGAGGAGATTGTGCTCATTTTCCTCCCACAGAGTAGCTGGTGGTTTCAAACCAACCGCTTTAGAATTGGCAGAGCAACACCTTACTCATTAGGCCAGTAGAGGTGGGAGGGTTTCCTGTGTGTGTGGATGTTTTTAAACAGATAATTTAAAACATTCAGAGTACTACACACCGGGGAACGTAGAGGCCTGTCACATGTACGAAGCGTCATCCATCCATCCATCCATCCCTTTGGTGCTGGGTATTTTGTTGGTAAAGGTGCACTTGAATTGACTCTGACTCGTTATTATTGTGTACCATGGAGTTGGAACTGACTCATGGCTGACATTTCAGCGGGCTTTCAGAGGCAGTAAATTGAATGGAAGGAGACTGCCCATCTTTCTTTCACGAAGCAGCTGGTGGATTCGAACCACATGCCTTTGGATTGGCAGTGCCCCTCCTTACCATTAAGCCACTAGAGCCCCCTAGCAGCCCTATATAAAAAAAGAATGAAACTCTCTCCTACTAGGTGTCAATTTTTTACCACTAAAAACAATGCTGCAATGAGCAAGTGTGCATACATCATTAACTTTTAGTCTTAGATATTCCTTAGGACAATTTCATTTAAGTGAAATTTCTAGAACAAAGCATTTGCACATTCCTCTTTTTAAAAGCAAAATATGATTCCAAGAGTACCTGGCTACAAAAGTGGACAGCTCTTGTTTTCCTGGGCTGGAAGGAGAAAGTTTTGCACTTGGTTTTAAGGGGAGACCCAAAGACACGCTCCAGGAGATGAGCCCTAAATCTGTTCAGCTTGCCTTTCAGGATGCTTTAGCCAACCCTAGAAACAGGTATAGACATTTTTAAGTTTCTTTAATGGTTGTGCTAAGAAGCTGAGCGGGGAGGGAGACCAGGCTGTGTGCGGTCTAAGGAGGAAGGTCAAGCGAAGCTGTGTGTTCATTAAGTCTCCGCCCTTTTCCTCCAACTCTCTCATCAGACTTCTGCCTCCCACTTCTCTCTTCTACCCTTCTGGCTCTGGTGGTTCCCCAAGTGAGCTCAGAGGTCCCTGGAGCCCTCCAGCTCCTGCTCCTGTCAGCCATGACTAGCCACATCCTTCTGTTGACAGGTACACCAGGGGCCTGGGAGGGAGGTCCTCAGGTTGGGGAGAGTACACTTCCAGATCTGTGGGTGGAGCCAGGGTGCAGAATAGCTAAGAATTAGAATGGGGAGAGAGAAAGAGGGTATGGGGAAAGAGAAAGGGTCCAAGGAGCAGAGAGTAGAGCTAGAGAGACCAAGATGAGCTGGCCAGAGAAGCTTGACTAGACAAGGAAGTTTGATTGGTTTCCTTGCTTTACTGTGAGGAACCTGAAGCCCAGAGAGAAGAAGTGACCGTGAGTGGTGGTTGTTGGGTATCATCCAGTTGGAATCAGCTTCTAACTGACCCTTCAGTGGGTTTTCAGAAACAGCAAAACCCATGCAAGGAGATTGTCCATCTTTTCCCCACAGAGCAGCTGGTGGATTTGAACTGCATGCTTTTGGATTAGCAGTGCAACTCCTTACCCCCAGGCCACCAGAGCTCCCTGGCCCAAGGGTATATGGCTGGTATTGGGCTCTTCTCCTAGGGTGTTGTGTTTCCTGTTTGCCTCTGCTTCACCATCTTCACTTGGCCTCCAATTCTATTTCCTAAGCATGTGATGTGAATGTTTGCTGAATGACTGACTGATTGAAATGATTTAAGCTTGTTTCTTTGTGCCTGTGTTTTGTGGAGAACGGACTAAGGGAAGGGAAGAACATGCTCGAGAGTTTTGTAGGGAGGAATTTACATAATGGAGAAACGTAGGAACTTAAGTATTGGGCAAATCGGCAGGAAGGGCATTGGAGGAAAGGACTCTGTGAGCTCAGGGACTGTGCAGAGCACAGAGATGAGGCAAATATGAATGACCCTGGATGGTGGTCTGAGTAGAACTCACTCAGAAGTTAGAAAACCACAGCCGGTGGGCCAAATGTGACCCACACATGCTTTTGTACAGCTAAGAATGGTTTTCATAGTTTAACATTTGTAATCTATACGATGATAGGAACACTAACTTTGAATCTCAATTGCTATGCTCCAAAAGACTATCATTAATAAACTCACTTAAAAAAAGATAATTGGGCAATCATTTTTGTTATATTTAGAATTTCTTCAATAAAAGTTTGTGGAAATGTATTTTCTCTTGTTTTATAAAGACAAAGTCATTGGTGTTGAGTGAACTCGTAGCTGACCCTCCAGCAAGTTTCCAAAGCTGTAAATTGCACAGGAGGGGATTGATCATCTTTCTCGCTCAGAGTACTTGATGGATTTGAACTGTATACTTTTGGGTTGACAGCACAACTCCTTACCACTAAGCCACCAGAGTTCCTGTCCTGTTATATGTAATCCATTCTATTTTGCATCTTGGTCCTCAAAGCCAAAAATATTCACCTCTTATAAAAATATCTGACTTCCACTTCACCAAACAAGATATTCAAATGGCACATAAACACATGAAGAAATGTTCAAAATCCCTAGCTCTAAGAGAGATACAAATCAAAACAACTATGAGATATCATCTCACCCCAGTAAGATTAGCAAAATTTAACAGAACAGCAAACAACAAATGCTGGCGAGGTTATGGAGAAACTGGAACCCTTATTCACTGTTGGTCGCAGTGTAAAATGGTACAACCACTATGGAAGGCAGTGTGGTGCTTTCTCAAAAATTTGGAAATAGAGATAGTATTTGACCCAGCAATTCCTCTACTGGGAATATACCCTAAAGAAACCATAACCGTTGCCCAAGCGGATGTCTGCACACCCATATTTATTGTGGCTTTGTTCACAATAGCAAAGAGTTGGAAACAACCTAAGTGCCCCTCAACAAATGATATTCACACAAAGGAACTACGCTGCATTGAAAAACAAGGAACTCATGAAATATTATTAAAAATGAGTGAGCCTGGAAGACATTATGCTGATTAAAATTTCTCAGTCACAAAAGGACAAATACTGCATAGGGACACTGGTGTAAAATAGGACTGACATCGGGGTTGGGGGGAGACTGAGAAAGAAAGGATAAATAATGTACACTGCATTGAAACAGATGAGGGAGAGAACTACTTACAAGGGATATGTGATTAGGTATTATTGTTATGACAGGAGTCCAGAAAGAAGGCTGCATAGGAGAGTGGACTTGGGGAGAGGGATTGTATAACAATGAAAGAATTTTTCTTTTACTTTTCAAAGAGAAGAACAAATTGGAATAGGGAAGAGACGGTGGGCAGGGAGAAAAGTGCAACAGTAATAAATGGAAACCCAAAGTCGCTGTAAACTTTCTTCAAAATTAATAAAAAAAAATCTGACCTCTATAGGAAAAGGGACTGATCCCTGTCCCAGCTTATCAGAGCTGGACGTGGGTGATGGACAGATGTTGAGTTAGGGTGAATCCCTGTATGAAGATATAGTGCAGGAAGTTGCTGCTGTAATCTGTCCACTGGGCTATTCCTCATAGCGGCCCTACAAACAATAGGTTGACACCTTGCCCTATCCTGTGCAGTTCTTAGGATCTCCTCCACGTTCAAGCTCATTGCTGCATTCATTGTGTTGATCCATCTCATTGAGGGTCTTCTGTCCTTTGCTGACCTTTTTTACCTTGCCGAACATGATGTCCTTTTTCAAGGATTCGCGCCTGCTGACAACATCCAAAGTTCTTTTCCTCTAACTCATATTCTCCCTTCAGCCTTTGCCATATGTCATGGATTCAACCTGGACACAGAAAACGCGATTATTTTCCAAGAGAATGCAAGAGGCTTCGGACAGAGCGTGGTCCAGTTTGAGGGATCCCGGTAAGATTCTTAGGTGGAATTCTGTTTCACGCTTTTTTTTCTCTCGGACTTACATAACTGACCAAAAATGACAGTGTTCTTTATTTATGCTTTTGAATAGGTAGTAAAGTTACAGAGTTCAAAATGACAAACATATTGTTATTGTTGTTAGGTGCCCTTGAGTCACTTGTGACTCATAGCAACCCTATTCTCTGAACCCTGCTCTATCTTGAGCCAACCTTATAGTTTCTGACTCACAGCCCCCCATTACCCCAGTCCCTGAGTGAACCCATCTCATCGAGGGTCTTCCTCTCTTACTAACTATCTATCTATCTATCTATCTATCTATCTATCTATCTATCTATCTATCTATCATCCATCCATCCATTATCGTCGAGTCAGAACTGACTTGCAACTAACTCTATAATAGGCTTTAGGAAGTTGTAAATCACATGAGAAGAGATTGTCCATCTTTCTCCCACAGAGCTGCAGGAGGATTTGAACTGCCGGAGAGGTCATTTGGGTTAGTTCGGCTCCTTGAAGACTAGGCCACCAGGGCTCCATATATAAAAGAATGTGACAGTAAAGGGTTTCTCCTACTTTCTTTTTCTTTGGTTCCATTCCTAAGAGGAAGTCCCAGTAAATGATTTTTTAAAAAATAAATTTTTATTTTATGATTGTATATTATCAGATCAAGTCTCTGTGGAGACTAAGGTGCGCCTGATACAGGCCATGGTCTTTGCAATCACTTGTTATGCATCAGAGAGTTGGACAATGACTAGGGAGGATAGAAGAATTGATGCCTTTGAGCTGTGGTGCTGGAGAAGAGTATTGAATGTATCTTGGACTGCCAAGAAAACAAACAGATTCATCCTGGAAGAGGGTTAAACCAGGCTACTCCTTGGAGGCAAGGATTCTGGGGCTTTGTCTGACATACTTTGGACATGTTGTAAGGAGAGACAGGTCCTTGGAGAGGGACATCATGCTTGGTAGGGTGGAGGGACAGTGTAGGAGGGGAAGACCCTCTATGAGGTGGATTGATTCAGTGACTGGGGTAATCGGGATGGGAGTGTCAGAGGCAGTGTGATTGGTACAGCACAGAGCAGGGTTTAGGGCTGTTGTACATAGGGTCGCTATGAGTTGCAAAGGAGTTGACGGCACATAACACCACCACCACCCACCACGACCATAAAATCAGATTTGACCAGTACAGGAGGAGATTGCCCCTTCCTTCTCCAGCAGAGCATCTGAGGGATTGGAACCAGGCACCTCCAGGATTACAGTGCAGCTTTTTGCCACTAGGCCATCAGAGCTCCTGATTTCTTTTTTTAAAATTGAATTTTAATGAAAGTTTATAGAGACTTTGCATTTCTGTTCATTCACTGTTGCACATTTTCCTCCCTGCCCACCACTCCCCCTAGTTGGTTTTTCTCTTTGAAGAGTAAAACAACCCAACAACTTTCGTTATTATACAATTCCCCCCTCTCCAGTCTACTACGCCATGAAGCTCTCATTCTGGACTCTTGTCATGAAAATAATACCTAATCATATATTCCTTTTAACTATTTCTCTCCTTCATCTGTTTCAAAGCAGTGTATATTATATATCCCCTCTCTTCCTAGATTCTCCCCAACACTGATATCAGTCCTGCTTACAACAGTGGCATTATGCACTATTTGTCCTTTTGTGACTGAGATATAATGTCCTCCAGGCTCACCCATTTTGTATAATATTTCATGAGTTCCTTGTTTTTCAATGTAGCATAGTATTCCATTGCGTGGATATACCACAGCTTCTCTGTCCATTCATCTGCTGATGGGCACTTGAGTTGTTTCCAACTCTTTGCTATTGTGAACAAAGCCACGATAAACATGGGTGTGCATATATCTGCTTGGGTGGCAGTTATGGTCTCTTTGGGGTACATTCCCAGTAGAGGAATTTCTGGGTCAAATGGTATTTCTATTTCCAACTTTGTGAGAAAGCGCCATACTGTCTTCCATAGTGTTTGCACCATTTTACACTCCCACCAGCAGTGAATAAAGGTTTCAGTTTCTCCACAACCTCACCAACATTTGTTGTTTACTGTTCTGTTAAATTTTACTAATCTTATGGGGTGAGATGATATTTCACGGTTGTTTTGACTTGCATCTCTCTTAGAGCTAGGGATTTTGAACATTTCTTCATGTGTTTGTGTGCCATTTGAATGTCTTTTGTGAAGTATCTGTTCATATCCTGTGTCCATTTTACAATTTGGTTGTTTACCTTTATCTTGTTGGGGTATAAATGATTTCTTCTGGAGAGATTCTATGCTTCTGTGACAAGCACTACCAGCCTGCCTTCCCACTCACCCACAACATCTAGTACATGTTTCCCACAAGATTGGGAAAACGATAGCTTGTGAGCTGCTGCTTGCTTTTGCTAACATAATTTTTGTTGAGTGCAGTCCTGCCTACTCATGTGACTCAATGTGACTGTTTTTGAGCTACAGTGACTGAGCTCAGTAGCAGCAACAGAGACCTTCTGGTTTGCCAAGCATGACACATTTTTTCTCTTAGGTCCTTTACTGAAAAAGTTTGCTGACCTTTGCTATACTGTCTCTTGTCCTTCCCCCCTCCTTTCTCCTTTGCTTAATTTGACTTGGTTATTTTGCCAGATAAGCACACAAAGAGCTTCCTCATTCTCTTTAATGTTTGCATACTATTCCATTACTTAATGGCTGCAGCAATGAACTCTAGGAGAGAGAGGAAGGGAGGATGGCAGGTCAACTTGACAGCACTTAACAACACTAATGAACATTTACATGGCACTAATCTTGTCTCTATTTTATTTAAAGGTTCTTAATTGACATTTAGGGATCTCTGGTAGTTCTTAGGGAATTGCACTGCTAATCCAATGGCCATGTCTCTCATGGTTCAAATCCACTAGTGGTTAGGTGGAAGAAAGATGGTTGGTTTCCTCCTGTGCAATTTACAGCCTCTAAAAACCTGCTGGAGGTTTAGCTATGAATCAGTTCCAACTGAATGGTGATGGGAGAGGGAAAGAGAAAGTTGACATTTAGACTGTTTGCAACCTTTGGCTGTGTAGACAGTGCTGTCATTTCGCACATGTGTAGATGTGTTGCTAGGTGCCATCGAGTCACCTGTGATTCACCGTGATCTCGGGAACAACAGATCGGACTCGCCCTATCACGCACCATCGTTACTGTCTCTGATAGGCCCGAGCCTGTAGTTACAGCTGCGGTGTCATTCCAGCTTGTTGAGGGTCTTCCTTAAGTATATTTGAAGATAAAGTCCTAGAAAAGGACGAGAGGATACACATACAAATATAATTTTAACAATTCTTATTTATCTTCCATAGAGATAGAGGCAACTTGTACTCACACCTGACATTTATGAAAACATCCACTTCCCTCTCACCTTGAAAACCCGATATGTTATCAAACTCTGATTTTGCCATATTGGATAGGTGAGAAAGTGTATTTTAATTTGGTGTTTGTTTGTCTTAAAATTATCATTTTAGCAATTTTAAAGTATAAACTCCTGTGACACCCAGCCCATTTGCAGTGCTGTGTGACCATGACCACTGTTTAGCTGCAGAACATTTCATCCTCCCAAATGGAACCTCTTTCATCCCAACCCTCACTCCCTAGCAACCACTAACCTATTTTTCTGTGTCTGTAAATTTGTCTATTCGGAATATTTTTTATAAACTGGAATCATCCCATATGGGGCCCTTTGTCTGGCTTTTTTCACTTAGAACCTTTTCAAGATTCATCTATGCTAT